AAAGTCAAGTCTTCATCTTCTGATTTAGGGCACGAATCAACACATTTTCTTGAAAATACTGAATGCAGAGCTTCAGAGCTTCCAGAATCTTTGGCACTTGCTCCTTCTTTTTTCAAACTTGCATTCTTCTTGGTTGTTTCTTCTGGATTGTCATTTGAAGACCGTTTTCAAGTATCTTTTTGCAAATGTTGCAAAATTTGTTGTGAGTGCTTGTCAGACCACCAGAAATAGTGTAAACATAGGCCATGTGTTCATATATGTTCTTGAGTAAAGACAATATTTTGTTGAAGAACAATGTTAACTATACCTGACAAGCTATAATGGACAACAGGTATAAGGGCTGTTCTTTTCAACCTATCAACAGCATGTACATTTGCCTGTTTCTTCACTAAAATTCCACCTTTTACTGTGTTTTGCAAGCTACAACAAGTAAAAGCAGTGTGTTTCCATCCTAGTTCTACCACTTCAGTATTCACATGGTGTGAAGGGAGTTTTTCTGCTGGTAGTCTAGTCTCATTATAGACAGTATAGTAGAGAGCAATGTTGCTGTAGACATCCGTAAGATCTAGATTGGTGCCACCTTCTAACAGAATGATGACACAGGTTTCTTTTTGGCAATGTACAGCCTTCATCAAAGGCATCTTGTTTTGTTTGTCACCAATGTCAACCTCACATTTTCAGTTTAGTAGAACAGTGACCACCTTCACATGACCATTGGCACAGGCCAAATGTAAATCAGTCTTGTCCATCCACAGATGAAGTAATGCAGAAATTCCGGGATATCTGTGCAATGGAATACTCTGCAGCCATCAAACTTCGGAACATCACATCATTTCCAGCGATGTGGAGAGAGACCTGTTCCTCCACAGATGAAGGGATACAGAAGCTGTAGTATTCATTCACAATGAAATACTCTTCAGCCATGCCATATACTAAAATCATATCATCTGGAGCCACATGGTTGAACTTGTTATCCCTTGATGAAGGGATGAAAAAACTGAAATATATATCCAGAATGGAACACTCTTCCACCACAGAAATGGATGAAATCCTATCATTTGCAGTCACATGGAAAAACCTTTTCATCCACAGATGAAGGGATAAAGAAACCATAGTGTATGTACACAAATGAAATACTCTTCATCCAGAAAAATATAATGAAATTACATCATTTGCAGCCACACTGTTGAACCTAGAGGACATCATGGCAAATGACCTGTCCATCCATAGCTGAAGGGATAAAGAAACTGCCACACAGGTACACCACGAAATATGCTTCAGCCGTAAAGCTTTGGGAAATCCTGTCATCCACAGCCATGTGGAGAAACCCAGAGGACATTAGATCCAAAGAGGTGAGCTTGGTAGAGAAAGTCCCACACCTTTTAATCTCAGGCATGGAGATTCCAAAAAAAACCCTTTATCTCCTGTCCATCCACAGATGAAGGGATCAAGAAACTAATATGTATACACAAAGGAATACCCTTCAGCCATCAAAATAACCGTGTCATTTGGAGCAACACAGATGAACCACAGAGGCTACAGCTGCCTTGTCCCACACCATGGATGGAAGCCACCATGGCGTCTGTCCAGGCTGAGCTCTGACCACAATGATGCCTCTGCCCCCACCCAGGCCCCACTATGACTGATGGTGCCCCTGCACCTTTTCAGTAGTCATTGTTGAATACTGGGACCAGCCTGGGCAACATAGTGAGACTCCATTGCTACAATAAAACCAAAAACTTTAATTCTGCTATAATCTCCTGTTTCATGATTAAAAGATTTATGATGTTAGTTGCTGATTGCAGCCATTAAAAGATAGGACATATGGCAGTGAGGACATTTCGTTCTGTGGTATCTATTTAGAGGCATAATGATTCAGAGTAGGAGAGATCTTTCCTTTCTTGTCACTTTTTTTTTTTTTGGAGAAAGAGTTTCACTCTTGTCACCCAGGCTGGAGTTCAATGGTGCAATCTCAGCTGACTGCAACCTTCACTTCCCAGGTTCAAGTGATTCTCCTGCCTGAGCCTTCCAAGTAGCTGGGGTTACAGGTGCCTGCCACCATGCCGAGCTAATGCTTGTATTTTTAAAGTAGAGATGGGGTTTCATCATATTGGCTAGGCTGGTCTTGAACTCCTGACCTCAGGTGATCCACCCTTCTTGGCTTCCCAAAGTACTGCTATTACAGGAGTGAGCCACCTTGCCGGCTGGAGAGATCTTTTCTAAGGTAACTCTTTGAGATGACTCCATAGGCAAGTTCTTGCACTTGAATTATAGGAATG